ACGACCTTTCTCAGTAGAGGAAAGCACCTGTGCCATTGACCAACTAGCCAAAGACAAAGCTCCAAGACCGGATGGACTCCCGGTGGCCCCCTTTAAACCCTTCCTGGGTACTTTCTTACCTGACCTCTGTAGCTTCTTCGAAGAATTCCACCATAGGGGGATCTTAAACAAAGCGATAAAAGCAACTTTTATCGCTCTTGTTCCCAAAATCGATGGCTCAGAGGAACTAAAGGATTTTCGCCCCATTAGCTTGCTAAACTCTTCTTACAAGATTCTGGTTAAGGCTCTGGCTTTGAGACTCAAGCATGTCCTCCCACTGACCATCTCCTCGTCCCAATCTGTCTTCAACCAAGATTGGTGGATTCTGAATGGGGTAGTGGTAGCTCATGAGTGCCTGCACACTAGGCACTTATCAAAGAAACCGGGCTTAATTTTCAAAATTGACTGGGAAGAAGCCTATGACCATGTCGATTGGTCATTACTTGATGAAACGATGGCTAGGATGGGTTTGGACACCTTTGGAGAAAGTGGATGAAAGAATGTATTTCCCACCCCCATTTCTCTATTCTTATAAACAGGAGCCCAAAAGGGTTTTTCCCTTCATTGAGGGGCCTTCGCCAAGGGGACCCTTTGTCCCCCTTTCTCTTCACTATTGTTGCAGAGGTTTTCGGCAGGACTATTTCCCATCTTTACCAGGAAGGTCTTCTTTCAGCCTTCCAAAGTAGCTCACAAGGCCCTTCGGTGTCACATCTGCAATACGCAAATGATACCTTAGTTTTCCTTGACGCATCCCCACTCAAAATCGACAACCTCAGGCTCTTCCTTAAATGTTTTGAGATTGCCACTGGCTTCAAAGTCAACATGGATAAATCAAAAATGATGGGGGTGGGTCTGACAACACAAGAGATCAGAGGCCTTATTCCTACTTGGGATTGTAAAGTAGAGGACCTCCCCACCACTTACTTTGGCTTTCCTTTGGGTTTAGGGAAGCCCAAACAAAGACAATGCGTTCAGATTATTGATAGAGTGGATATAGGCTTCTGGCTGGCTGGAAAGGAAGGTTCCTCTCCTTGGCAGGCTGCTCGAAGCTGGTCAAAGCTACACTAGCCAATGCCTTGATTTACCTAATGTCCATCTTTCACATGCCAGCCTCGGTTGCTAACAAGCTGGACCAGCTCATGAGAAACTTTCTTTGGTCTAGCCAAGGGGAAAAAACCAGACATCACCTTATCTCTTGGGACAGACTACCCAAACCCCACGGTGGCCTAGGTATCAAGGATCTGAGAAAACAAAACCTAGCTTTGCTTGGAAAATGGTGGTGGAGATTGGCCACCCAACCTAACTCTCTCTGGGCACAGGTCATTCTCGACAAATACAGGATCCCAGATCACAAGTGGGTGCCCGACAAGACTTCCCATAGTAGGACTTCAGGAGTCTAGAAATCTTTAGCTTCCTCGCTTGCCCTTTTCAACCAATCTATTTGTTTCCATCCTAAAGAAGGCACGAGAGTGCGTTTTTGGTCCGACCTTTGGATTGGACATTCCCCTCTGAGGGACCTTTTCCCCCTTCTCTTTAACCTCTCCAACAAAGAGTCCACCGTAGCTGAAGAAATGGTTATTTCAGGGAGTCGTAGGTTGTGGAATCCCTCTTTCAGGAGAAACCTAACCGAAGAAGAGACTTCACTCTTCATTTCTCTGTCCGCGGCCTTACACCCAATCTTCTTATCTCCATCAAGGACTAATTCTCTGGTGTGGACTCACTCTCCGTCCGGAAGATTCTTAGTTGCCTCCTTCTATAACAAACTTATCCAACCCCCTACTTACCCCCTGAACCCCACCTTTGTCCTGTCCAAAATCTGGTCAACCATAGCCCCTCCAAAAGTCCAAATGTTCAATTGGATAGCCTGCCACCAACGGTCTCTCACAGTCGATCAACTTCATAAAAGAGGCCTTCCGCTTCCTAAAAGATGCGCTATGCGCCTGCAAGAGGAAGAGACGAACCTGCACCTTTTCCTACATTGCAGCCAAGCTTTCAAGCTTTGGAGCCTAATACTTCAACTGTTCCATATTCATTGGGTACTCCCACCCTCGGTTAAGGCTCTCACCTCCTCCTATTCTGACTACCATTGGCCTACGGCCGGCAGAACTTTGTGGAAGGCAGCTATCACTGCTACCTTATGGGTCATATGGCTAGAAAGGAATGAGAGGGTGTTCCGAGGCCTCAAAAACGAAGTTCCAGTGCTTTTCCATAAGGTTACTTCCCTAGTAACTTTTTGGGCTTCTACCCACAGGGACTTTGTAGGGATCCCTTCTAGCACGTTTCTCAGTCAGTGGGAGAATATCATGCACCTCCAACCTCACAAGAATCAAAGACCTCACAACTGGCAGCCCCCTCCAGAAAACGCTGTCAAACTCAACTTTGATGGTTGTTCGCTAGGGAACCCTGGGCATTCAGGGGCAGGAGAGGCATTTCGTGATCACAATAGCAATATCCTCCTCACCTACTCAGAAAATGTGGAACAAGGAGATTCTCAGTTCGCTGAAGCTTTGGCCCCTCTCTTGGCCCTCAAAAGGTTCAACCCCTCATGGGGTCAACTTTTGGTGGTGGAAGGAGGCACCCAAAATATCATCTCTCGGGCAGCAAGCACCTCCCCTCCTCCTTGGTACCTCTCAAGGATTTTTGACAAAATTCACCACATATGCAGGGATATGAACGCCTTATGGACGCATACCACGCGAACGTCGAACAAACTTGCTGATCTTCTTGCTAAAGACGGAGCACGGGCAAGTGTGGAAGACCCCGACCGGTCCATCTCTTTTTTTGCTTTGGACCACGAAGGGCTCTCAGGACTGTAGTTAGCCCTTCTTTTTTACTTGTACTCGGACAATCTTATAAGCCCCATTTTTTGCTACACCACAATTTTTTGTATTTGGCAGGAGACGGCCAATTTTTTTGTAAAGGGTCTCAGGACCTATTTTTTTGACTGAGATACCCATCTCGTCGGTACTCGAGGTGCTCTCTCTCCCCTTCACTTGTACTCACTCAAACGGCAATACAAAGTTAACATTATCAAAAAAAAAAAAGTAGGCAGGACAAGTTATGTCCAAAAGAGTGGCCAGCTGGAGAAAACTTGCTGAGAGGTTGCTACATCAAGAGCGATTTGGGGTTTTTGTTCAATTAGGTCTGCACGAAGGGAGGACAGAGCCAAAAATGGAAGCATTCAATTGTGTGTGCAAGAAGAGAGGTCAAAGCAAAAATAGAAACACCTGACAAGGAGAAACTCTTGACCTGATTTGCAGACATTTTCATTGAACCAAAGAGTCTGCCACAGTATCAAACACATGACCACTGAATTCCACTCATGCCAAGTAGTAAGCCGATGAATGTGAGGCTATATCGCTACCCACAGATACAGAAGAAAGAAATTGAATGTGTTGCTTAAGAAATATTGGAAGCCGGAATCACTTGAAATTGAATGTGTTGCTTAAGAAATATTGGAAGCCGGAATCACTCGACCTAGTGTTAGCTCTCGGGTGCAACTTACTTCTCAAAGCTTGATCTACGATCAGTATATCATCAAATTCGAGTGCACAAGTGAGACATTCCAAAAACAACTTTTCGAACTCATAATGGCAACTATGAATTTATAGTAATGCCATTTGGTATGATAAATGCTCCTTCAACCTTCCAAAGTCTTATGAATGATGTAATTAAGTTTGCTTTAATTATTCTTTGACAATAATTTCATCTATAGTAAGATTTGGACTGATCATTTGAGCCACATAGCTATAGTAATGGAACATTTAAAAAAGGATGTTGCATGTCAAAGGTACCAAGTGTTACTTTGGTTGCAAACAAGTTGAGTATTTAGGCTGTGTGATATCAAAGGAGGGAGTGACAGCTAATCTTAAAAGATTTCATGCAAGGTAGATTGGCTAAAGCCTATGAGGGGCTCCTTGGGGTTGACGGGCTACCACCGAAAATCCGTCAAGGATTACATTCAGAATCTCAGATCGGTGTTCCATTTTCGTAGGATGCCTTTAGATGGGATGAAGAGGCAGAGAGGGCATTCAAGGTTCTCAAAAATGCAATGACCACCATGCATGTCCTTAGGTTGCCTAGTTTTGCTTATTTATTGCAGAATGTGATGCTTCAGACACGAGAATGGGAGGGGTGGTATTGCAAGATGGTCATCCCTTGGCCTTCACAAGCAAAGCATTGATAGGAAGGAACACACTCTCTTCACTTATGATAAGGAGATGCATGCAATAATTCACGTTGTTTCAAGAGAGCATCCCTACCTCCTTGGTCGGCATTGTACAGAACATAGGAGCCTCAATTACATTATGGAGCAAAGAACAACTTCTTCGCAATAGCAAAACACCAGTAGATCGGCACGACAGGTGGGCGATCCAGAACTATATTCCGGATTTTAAAACACAAGAAAAACCATCTTCTACTCAGTAAACCGAGTCAAGGGAGTCAGAAAAGCGTTTTTTAGCTCGGCGTATACATGGGCACACGTGTTGAACTTGCAAAGATGAAGACGAAGTCATGGCAAGGTTAAAAAATTACATGAAGGGAGAGTGGTGCTCGAAGTGAATGTGATTTTTTAACCTTGTCATATGCATATAGATTACACAAATCATATGCTTCATATGCATATAGATTACAACTAGCAAGTATTGATCATGGATCAGAAGTGCCCTGATTAAAAAAATTAATCATGGATCAGAAGTGTCCATGAAATCTGCATTATTTATTGATGAGTGACTTTGTGAGGCTGAGTTTTGATCCTTCACATTCGCAAGTCGTCTCTCTCATAGAGGATTTGGAAAGACATCTCCATATGTGGGTGTGCAATCTCTTAGCCTAACCGTTCACAAGTGATTTAAAATGCAATGGCACTTTGAGAAATGCACATCGTCCTAAGCTGTAACAGATGCATACAGAGTGGGCGAGAGAGATTCATAGAATCAGAAAGAGAGAAGTGATAGGACCTTGATGTTGGATTCGTAGACATGGACGCCAAAGGAAGAGAAGGCCTGACGGCGAGCTAGGGTGCGATGGGCAGTGCGCATTCTGGAGGCAGGAAGAATGCCGGATTTGTCCACGCCCCTGGCAATGGCTTCCGCCATTTTCCCGGCACCTATAAACCCTAATGTGTACGCCTCTGTTATAGGAACCGCCATCTCCCCAGCTCACCCTCTTCAACTCCAACTACTACAACTCTTTAAGAGACAGAATCTCCTCTTCTTTCGAAAAAAAAATTTTGAACGGAATGAAACGCCTCTCTCCACAAAAGAAATTTCAAAAGCCTATTCTGTCTCTCTCTCTAAAAAAAAGACAAAGGACTCTTCCCTCCCTCTTCTCTCTCTCTAAAAAAAATGCAAAAGCTTCCTCCCTCTCTTTAAGAAAATTAGTTTATGTAAGGTTACAACCTCATAATGTAGGATTAGAAATGCACCTCAAACATCCATGAAAAAAAGGTAGTTTTAAGGTTAAAAAACACTCTAAGATCTTGACATCGGGATGTAAGAATATAAAAAGAAAGAATAGATTTTGAATACAAAAATAGTGCATTTTGTAACATATTATCTAGACGGTCGATTTTTAGGATTTTCATATACTTATAGTTCTCCTTGATTTTAACCATTTTAGAGTTTCAAATTGTATAATTAGATATAAAAATAGATTTTGAGACAAGGGTGTGGTTTTATATGATTGCAACCTTAAACAATCCAATAAAAGTGCATCTTCAAATTTTATCATAATATGTAATGTTGGTGTATCTTAAAATCTATTTTCATATCTAATTATAAAATTTTAAACTTCAAAAATGGTTCAAATGAAGTAGATCTATAAACATATGAACATATTGAAAATAGACGGTTTAGATAATGTGTTGCAAGATGCACTATTTTTTGAGTTCAAAATCTTTTATATTTATATATTCATACATCTTGATATCGAGATGATCAATTAGAGGGTTTTTCAACATTAAAACAATATTTTTTGATAGATTTTTTAGGCGCATATGTAATTCTATATTTTAAGGTTGCAACCTTATACAAACTTTTTCCTTGAGATAATCTTGATAAGTTTTTACACCGAAATTATACCAAAATTATATATTATTGTAAAATTAAGAGGCTTAATTGGATTGTTTAAGGTTGCAACTTTATAAAAACTGCACCAATTTTTAAATAAATTTATCAAATTTTACTTGAAACTCGGCAATTCGGATTGAGAATTGCTAATCTTAATTAGGTGGGTAGAGAATCTAAGTCTCAACCCCCTAAAATCCTCTTGATTTTATTATTTTCACCTAAATTTTCCGCCATTTGACATATCCAAAACACCAATAGATCGGCACGACAGGTGGGCGATCCAGAACTATATTCCGGATTTTAAAACACAAGGAAAACCATCTTCTACTCGGTAAACCGAGTCAAAGGAATCAGAAAATCGTTTTTTAGCTCGGCGTATACATGGGCGCACGTGTTGAACTTGCAAAGATGAAGACAATGTCATGACAAGGTTAAAAAATCACATGACTATAATCTTTGTAAAAATTACGATGACCATCCCCCGCTGGCTTTTTAAAGGAATTATACCCCGAAGGAGCATATTGTATGTTTAATCCCTTTCGTTAAAAACCCTATCTAGAAGTATTTTTCGGACTCAAAATATCACGTATAGATGTGCCTAAAAACATTGCGTCTTTAAAATGAATATAGACCGGCCAATTTTTTATATTTTATATTCTATTTCAAAAAATTTATTTTATTTCTATTTATTTTTCTTATCCATTTTAGATAGGGTGTGGTTTGCATAGGGTTTGAACTTTAAAGAATCAAATTAAGGTGCATCTCCAAAATTTATCATAAGATGTAATTTTAGTATAAATTTTTTTTAAGATGGCCTGAGAATCTATTTTCATCGCTAATTATAAAATTTTAACCTCCAAAAACAATGGTTCAAATCAAGTAGTTCTATAAATATATGAAAATCTTGAAAATGGAAAGTCCAGATGATGTGCTGCAAGATGCACTATTTTTTGGATTTGAAATCTCTTTGTTTTTTTTATATTTATATACCTTGATGTTGAAATGATCAATTAGAGGGTTTTCAACATCAAAACAACATTTCTTGAGGGATTTTTGAGTTGCACTTTAATTTTACATTTTAAGGTTGCAACCTTATATAAACTTCCCTTTTAGATGTCTATTATACTATTCCATCATAGTTTTAATTAAAAATAATATTAAATTATTGTGTTTATTAAATATTTCATATAAATAATAAATAAAATAAGAAATAAATAAAACTAATTATATTATATAAATTATGTTATAATAATCAAATAATAAAAATTTAAATGATAATAATTACTTATAATGACTCCGGTATTTCTAATGTAGGACAAGTTAAGCTATCCAATAGCAGAAACACTGAACAACCGGTGTTAAATACCGAACATGCCTTGAGTAAAAATAGATCAGAAAAATAAAATAGAAACACTGGACAGAAATAGATACATCGGTACTTCCCTCCAAATTTATATTTGATTCAAAAGTACAATTGAAATAAAATTTAGTATAATATAATATTTTATGTTTTGAAGTATTTCATAGATACAAATATTTATTTAGATTTTAATTAAAACTATATATATATATAATGATATAATAGTAGAAGAGAAATCTAAAATACATTAGGAAAATATTTACCAAAAAAAGATAAAAAGTAAAGTAGAAATTTAAATATTTAAAATAGAATATAAAAATATAAAAAATTAGTTGATTTATATTCAATTTTAAGACGCAATGTTTTCAAGCACATATAATTTTTCTCTTTTTTAAAGGTTAATAACTAGTTTGGTACGTCATATAACTGATTGTTGGGTCCAAAAGATAATTCTAAATAGGGGGCTTTTTTTACCAAATGGAGTAAACATATAATATACTCCCTTAGACCATATAATCTTTTTACAAAAGGGCGTGAACTTGCCTTCTTCCCCCTTCCTGTCATTGCCGGAAAGGATCGGCAATTACATGAGAAGAAAAAAACCCCACTAAAAGGGCGGTCGTCGTAATTTTTATAAAAATATATTTATATGATAATATAGGTTAAAAAAATGTCCATACATAAAAAGCTCTTTAACTAAAGGAAAATTATTCCATGGAAGCCGGATCACATTTTTACAATGTGCAGGCCCAAAGTATAAAGCATCCATCTTAAAGGTTGATGCAAATAGGTGGTCCTTCTAAAAACAATTGAAACCAACGGTCCAAATGTTTTTTTAATAGAGTTATTATTTCTCATTTTTAAAATCTATTTATTTATTCAAATTCATGTTCTCCATGTTAGAAATTACATGTCTTTAAAAATTAAGTAAAAAACTCCATCTCAAAAATAACTTTTTAAAAGGTAATTGATTTTTTTATATGGACTCGTAGAACATGTGTCCCTAATTAAATGGATAGACATGCTTAATAATACATAGTTAAATGACGGGTAAGAGGCACGTGGATGCTCTTTTTAATTAGAGCAAATTACATACAAATACTTTTGGGAGGGGCAATTATCAAATGGGGAGTAATTTATTTAAAATTACGAGCACCACCCCCACTTTTGCAGATTTTTTTTTTTTTTAAGTTGCCTTCATGTCCAGCAATGCAAATACCAAACAATAGGAAGGTTAAATTTTTTAAAGTAAAAGAGTTGTCCAGTGTTTGAATTACCGAACATCTCTCAACGTTTAACATCTTTTTAATCGTTTGTTGTCTAGTGTTCAGAATACTGGAAAGGTTTTCGAATCCCCCAAAACCAACTTTAGATAGATAGGGTTTTTAAAATAGAGAGAGAGAATTTTGTGTTTTCTTTGCCTCGAGAACTAAGAGCAAGAGCCGCTTAACCCTAGCTTGGGGGACAAAAAGCCGGAGGATAAGAGATTTAACATCTATCGTCTAGAAAAGGTTCAACTTTCCTTGGCAATAGCCGCTAAACCCCAGCTTGCAGGGGGAAATTAGTGAGAGAGTGTGTGATTCAGTTGCACCATTCTTGCCTTCGAAGCCTGAACTTTCCTAAACCTAGCAAAAGGTAATTTTAGTGGAAATAAGAGGGATGAGTAATAAAGTTTTGCATGGGATTTCTCTAACAAATAAAAACACCGAGGAGAAACTAAAAATAAAACACCGCAAAAAAATTAGAAAATAAAAATCACGACGGATGAATCCAAAGGTAAATGCTAACCAGAAAGCTGTTTAGACATCCAAACACTTATAAGTTATAACTAATACCATAAAGTATTATGGCGACCCAGAAAACTAATTTCCCATTATTTAGAATTAAAGAAAAAGAAGGCTATCAAAAATCCATAGATGACAATTAAACATTTTCAAGCACAGGGGATTCCTACTCATGTCCCATTAAAATGTGCCGAGCCACTTCTGCTTATCATCATATCCAAATCCGGCTCCATTCCGGCAACTGTTGTCGGCCGCCCATTAAAATCTTGCAGGTAAACCATGTAACTCCATCTGTCCATTCCAACGATATTGAGATTTGTGGAAGTCGGTCTTAGCTCTCGAGGCAAAGAAAACGTGCAATGTTCTATTCTCTCTCTCTTTTATAAACCCTCTCTCTTTTAAAAACCCTAGCAATCTAAAGTTGGTTTTGAAGATTCAAATAGTTGTCTTAGTTTTGAAGATTCAAATAGTTGTCTTATATTTCGAAGACCATATAACAAACAATTAAAAATACCAAAAGTAAGAGAACTGTAATGTAATTCAAACACTAAAAAGCTCTTTTACTTTGAAAAAGAATTAGCCTTCCTCCCATTCAGTATTTGCATTGCATACCAGAATGACAACTTAGGGAAAAAAAAATGCCCAAAAATGAGAGCGGTGCTTGTAGTTTCGAGAAAATAACTCCTTATTTACTAATTGACCCTTACCAAAAGTATTCGTACATAATTTGCTCTTTTAATTATTGTGATTACCATCCAAAATGAATAAAAGTTGAATATTTTTTTCTCTAAGAGAAAAATTATTAAAACTTAGGAATTAGGGATTGAGTTTACAATTTTTTAATTATTATCGAAGGTGAACCTCTCTTACAATAAAATATATTTTTGGGTTTGAATAAAGATGAGTATATATAAGTATATGCGAGGAGGATATAAAAATATAGGAGATAAACTTAATTTGCTTAGTAGTCTCCCTTAATACCCTGACCTGAAGTTCACTCTCCATAGGTTCTGCTTCCATTGAATGCCATGTGAACTTACCCTTAACTGTAGTTTAAGTAGAATAGATAATTGAGCAATAAAAATTACACATATAACTAGCAATTAAATTAAATATTGGAATAAAAAAAAAAGCATTATAACGACCATTGAATTGCTCATTTTGCACCGGATACAGTAGCCATATAATAGATAACGGCCTATTATGTTTAAACAACCAACAATCTTTACCTCGTACGACCCTGCCCAACACTGCTTGTGTAGGAATTTTTACTGGTTTATTTTTAAAAAATGTATATTATGAGACCATTAATTTTTTGATACAAAAAGGTCACAATCATCTCTAACCATTTGATTTAAAATTTAGAGGCTAAGAACAATGCACAAAGCTTGATTTAAAATCTGGCATTTCTTTACCATCTTTGCTTCTTTTGAATCCTTTAGTTCCTCATATGCTATTCAATAAAGTTTTTAACATTGTCCAAAAAAAAAAAACAGTTCCTAATATGCTATTCAATAAAGTTTTTAACATTGTCCAAAAAAAAAAAAACTATCAGAGACTTTAAGAAAAAATTCATTGAGCATTTTATTAGCCATTTGATTTCATATTTCATGGTTAGGAATAAATTTGATTTCATATTTGATAGCTAAGAATAAGTGTGATATATTTACGTCAAAAGTAAGAAGTCTCCATCTTATACTTTCTCTTACTTTTATGGAAAGACATGGCTTGTGTCATTTAATAAAATGGGATCAGCACAATGATATTAAATGATATGTAGCCTTTTTCTCAATCTCTTATGTGGCCTTTCATGTTATGGCTCTTTCTTTTTAAATTTTTTTTAACCTCTTATGTTACGGCTCTCTCAAGCGATTATAGTAAAATGTAAAGGCAAGCCATGCAAAAGAAAATGAACCATAACAAGTTTAAAGAAGAGAAATATCTAGGTTTTTCATCAAACTATGGCAAAGTCACTCACTTATAGCATTGCACAAGAGTTGAATCAGAATTTCATATCAACCCCAGTGAGTGTTTCAATAATCCATAAATTACATTCATAATACAACTTTTAAACGCCAGTCATTAGCTACAATCTTATTGATACAATTAATACATACAGCAAAGAACCATTTCGAAAAAAATTATCCACTAGGAAGAAAGGAAAACAAAGTTTACAAGAAAAGCTCCAGGTCAAAGCTAAGAAAATGAACTATGCAATTGACCTTGATATATTTTAAAATATTTTGTGTGGTGAAATTGTCGCCATCCATTAAGAATTCTATTTCCTATATCCAACAATTCCTTCAGATTCTTGGCAACAAACTAGATCCAAGTCGTCATCATTCACCGTGACAGAATTCATCACCTACCTTTATCTCCATTATCAGCATCCACTCAAATAACCAATTGACAAATATAAAGCCGGAATAATTTACACTATACGCCTAATGTTACTTCTTGCAAACTACTATCTCCATGCCCATCATCCACTCCCAAACAGTTTCAAACCACAATGCGGCCCCAAGTTGTATAAAATGAACTGAATTATTAATCGAATTGCCAAATCCCCTGAACTTTCGATTAGTGCCGCAACCCACCTTGCAAATAGCAACAACTAGTGAGGCACCCACATCGTATCACATACCCGTGCTTCTCAATAAGCATTTTCTGATAAGAACTCTTCAAGAAGAAAAGTTTAACGGGGGATGTAGAGTCTTCAATATAGCTCCTGTCTTCTCAAGCCGATCTCTTCGGGAGATATCACGTCTTCCTCTGCATGCTTCAGTAACTCTCCATTTCCATGGGAGAGTCGGGCCGATAAAGATGGGGACAATGGTGGATACATATCTAGAAAGAAAGGAGATAAAGAAACAAGATATTAGGACTTCAGCTGTAGGATCACTAGCATCATAAAAGAAAATAAGTCCACTCATAGACATATCTAGAATATTGAGGAAGGTGTAGATAATATGACAGCAATGACATAGTGAGATAAAACATGCTCTCAGGGCTAGTAATCGTGAATCACGCATCAAAGTCAGGACCTACTCCTTGGCAGATTTCTATCGAAGTCCTTAGTCACATGCAATAAGATTGTACCCGAGAGGACAACAACAAAGCCACAGATCTCAGAAATGATGCTCCCTTCACCCTGTCCATCCCAATCCTGATACAAGAAACCAAAAACAGCGATTAAGAAGACCTTATTCATTGTTGGTTATGCCAAAGTTTGGCGCAGTGACTTCAGCAGAGTTAAATACATTACAAAATCATTATGCTACAAATTAATATGGAGCAGGTCATAACAAAAGTATTTAGGTCAAAATTTCAAATATGTGCAATGTGTGTATCACTCAGAAATGAGCAGTTCTGATGGTAGAAATCCTGACTTAGCATTACTACTAAACTCAGGTTGGCCCCCAAAAGTAACATCTCTCACAAAAGTACATCCACTGGACACATGCATGCAAAAACAGAATCCCTAGGCTAACTTGACTCTGGCAACTCAAAGAAGGCCAAAAAGCAAATCCCACCCTCCCTGAAATATATCATTTTGGACAACTCAGTAAGGCTGAAAAGCAAAGATGCACACAAGAAGACATATTCGCTGCACATAGTATCATAAACATGGAGAGCACACATCTGTGCACACAAGAAATTCCTGACGATATAAGGTGTGCTAAAATTACCGGCAACCCTTGATAACTTTGATATACAAAATACAATTTGAGGTGGTACATTAATTAAACAGTTTGGTTTGATTGTAAGCTTGTGTGGCACAAGATCATTCATCTTTGTGAAAGGTTATGCCAACTTGGATAAGCCCGGGTACAACTTGGATAAGCCCAGGTAAATTATGATCTTGGTTCATCAGATATAAATCGGACAAGTTTTAACATCAAAACATATTGAGACATTATTGACAATATACGATGTGCAAAAATTACTATCAATCCCTTGGTAGCTTCTGATATACAAAATACAATTTTAACATGGTTCATTAATCAAACATTTTGGGTGGATTTTACGCTGGGCACAAGATTAACATCCATATTTTTTAAGTTTATATCAACTTGGCTAAGACCAGGAATATTATGATCTTGGTTCATCACATATAAATCAGACAAGTTGATGTAGGAGAACTTTAAAAAAACATAAGAATTAGCAAGGAACAAGCCAAACATAGGCAATTTTAGAGAAACCCTAATGCTTTCTCCCACCTATGGCTCAAGCCTTAACTTTTATAAATAAGTATTTCTTTTCTTAAAGAGGAATACGTGAATGACTCTCCGGCCCATCCGTGTCATTATTTATATTGAAAAATTATTGTTTTGGACAATATTTGTTCATAAAATTAACTTTTAACCAAAAGGTTCTAACTTAAGTATAACTTAAAATTAAACTCCCTAACTTTAATTAAAGGGTGAGACTTCTATAAGGTTGCAACCTTAAACAATCCAATTAAAGTCGCACCTCCAAATTTTATCATAACATTGTAATTTTGGTGTAAAAAGTTCTTAGGATTATCTGAAAATCTTTTTTCATATCTAATTATAAAATTTTAAACTCCAAGAATGACCATTATTAAAATAAACTTTCCCAACGGATTTTTGAGGTGCATCTTTAATTCTACATTTTAAGGTTGTAACCTTATATAAACTTTTTCCTTAATTAAAAAATCTAAAAAGTCTCTAACTGGTCCAACAAGAAAATAAATAAATAAAAGCATCTGAAATAGCCTAAAAAAAACTAAAAAAACACCCAAACTATTTTTTTCTCTTTTTGTTCTTCTTAGAAGCCCTCATAGGGTTTTCATCCTCTAAATATGAGCGAAAATTAGAAGGAATATGTCTCTCCAAAAGAAGATACTCATGACTACTTGTTGTGCTCTGATCTCACATTATTCTCCCCACGTTGAGGAGAACTTGCCCTCGAGTTCACATCTTCATCTTCATGCACCTCCATACCACGGTACTTTAACAGATCAGCAATATTAAAGATGTATGAAGTCTCCATGTGTAAAGGCAAAGCAACCTCGTAAGCATTGCTGCCCATCTTCTTCAAACTTTTGAATGGTCCAGCCTTGCAATCATTCAGCTTGTTGTATTTTCCCATTGGATGTCGTTCCTTCCTGAGATACACCATTACCCAGTCTCCCACATTAAACTCCTTGAAATGGCAATGCTTGTCCACTACTTCCTTGTATTTGGCTGTATTGGCTTTTAAACTAGCACATACTTGTTCATGCAATCCTTTCATTTGTACAACAAGTATCTTTTTTGGGAGCGATGGATTCCTCCTAATTTTCGCTCATATTTGGAGGATGAAAACCCTAGGAGGGCTTCCAAGAAAAACAAGAAGAGCAAAAAATAGTTTGGGTGTTTTTTAAGTTTTTTAGGCTATTTCAGATGTTTTATTTGTTTATTTTATTGTTGGACCAGTTAAGAACTTTTTAGATATTTTAATTAAAGTTAGGGAGTGCAGTTTTAAATTATACTTATGTTAGGACCTTTTGGTCAAAAGTTAATTGTATGGATAAATATTTTTTAAAACAATAATTTTTCAACATAAATAAGGGCATGGACGGGCTGGAGAGTCATTAACACATTCCTCTTTAAGAAAAGAAAGACTTTGTCTTGTAAACAAAGCCTAAGGCTTGAACCATAGGTAGGAGAAAGCCATAGGGTTTCTTCAAAATTGCTTGTGTTTGGCTTGTTCCTTTCTAATTTTTATGTTTCTTCAAAGTTCTCCTACATCACAAGTTTAATTGAGCTGCTTTTAAAAAGCTAGCCATTTATCCATTATTGCTTATATTTATAGAAGGTATATCATAATGCAATGGACACCAGTAAATAAGATCCCATTGAGGTCATCACCTCCAATTAAATGAATGGAAGGTGATGGAGAGAGTAGGACCAAACAGAACAAGGCATGAACCCCTATTGTAGATCCCCACTCTTTCCATTTCATTGGATGGTGAAGATCTCTGTAGTCCATTGGATGAGGATACACTTTCTGTAGGTTTTTCTTTATGGTTATACTTCCCCTGAGTTTTTATGTGTTCTTTCAGCAATCAAAAAAGGAAGTCCTTCCACACCTTGAACATGATGACACTTGCAAGGATTGTAAGAGAGGTAAACATGACATAGTAGATTGGAGAGACGATGGCAGTGTTGAAGGTGTCAAGTGCCTGTGTCAAGAGGAACAACAATGTCGAATAAGATGAGATTTTGAAACTACAAGACTAGTAAACTGCAACAGCCTTCAAAGTCAAACGTGCACCAAAAACTGCTCTGCTATGCCTATACATAAGAATGAAGAGTATAAAATATGCTATTTAAATAACACTAGCATTGGCAAAACAAAACAAGAAAGTCTTAGGCATTTAATGTTAAGGGGCTACCTCTTAATGTTTATACGAAGGGAGTTGTGCTCTCCCAACCATGAATTTCTTATAATAAAGCGAAAGACAATGACCTCAAACTAGAAACAGAAATGTTGGCCACACGAAGGTCACTTAGTGAGAGATAGAAGTCCACTAAGATTATTCTAGTCCTCAAAATAATCGAAAGATTCCACAAGCTGACGTTAATACTCGTTTTTTCACTTCAAAAATTCAAAACAGAAACAAGGCACTTTCCAAATACAAAATCAAAACATTAAGAAAAAAAGATGAAATGAAAAACACATTTATTCATGGTTAAATGATAAAGACCTTGATAAGAACTTCTTCTCCACACCAACCAAATTACTAAATGATCTAACAAAAACTGAGCTATTCACCCACCTTAAAAATTAAAACGAATATTTAGTGTTATATTTATCTGATGATTAATATTTAGGGTTATTCATTGATCGTATGGATCTTCATTAAAGGATCTTCATTAAAGACAAACATCGCTAGTCTAGTGAGCTATTATATGTCATCTCTTACTCAAGATGTAGGTCACATGTACCCAAATTAGGCAACTAGGTATTCAGCTACCAATGAGAAATGTTCCCAAGTTTAGGGGCGGCGTTTTGAGAATGCTCTAGGAACCCCAGTAACTCAGATATCATTAGAGATTGCCAAAATCAGAAAAATGACTTTCAGCAATCAATAGATACTAAAAACACTCAGCATTCATCCCATTGTTTCAAAGACACAGCTAGCTAAATAAGTTAGGATATAGCTAGTTAGACACTGAGTCTGACCTATACTTACAATTTAGCTAATTCGGAAGTACCTAAGCCAAGCACCAGAGCAAATCCCTAGCAATTCAGAAACAACCTTTAAACCTTGGTTCAACTAAGGAGAAAAGGGTCCCAAGTCATAACATTATGATCTAAATAACCTTGTCCATTTACTATTGATCAATGAAAAAAAGAAAACTTCTTACTGAAACCTGTGCTACTGTTTCCAAGATTTAGTGTTTAAGGAGTTAGGGAATGCCCAAGCTGAATTGACTGTCATAAATCTTGTGGCAACCATAATCTTTTAACCTTCATTTAAAATAATTTGACAGAAAAACATCAGGAGATATGGTCAAACCTTAAGATAAGACTAGAGAGAAAAGTAAATAGAGAGTATCGACATTCCAGCAACTTCCAAAGGGGCGGTAGGTGTCATGGTCATGTTAGCAGAAAAGGAGCACATCTACAGAAAATGGCCTCTTTGATAAAGTCATCCACTGTTTTTAAAAATTGATCAATTTCTCTGATATGTAAATAGGCCCTTAAGAAAGTCAACATACAAAGGTCGATGCAAGTTTTTACTCTGAAACTGCAATATCCTTCCTCCTCATAAGCAACATTTTCTTATAAGAGAGGGAACTCCCTAAATTCACTTACTTTGCACATTCATCTCCCAAAAGATCAGAGAACTCAATGTTGTGTTCATTCGTCCAATTTACCCCTATAGACAGTTTGGTTTAGGATAATTCATTGTTGTGTACATTCATTCAATCATTTGGACCTTTTCTCTTTAGTTCTTCAGCAGGACAATTTCCTCTGCCAGCACTTTCATTTGGGTCTCAGAATGAATATAGAGCAGGACACTCTTAAAACAAACTGATAGTTGGGGTACAATAGAACTTCATATTAGATTAGAAGCAACTAGAAACAATGATGAGAGAATTTGGTATTGACTATATCATGTTAAGAGCTACACTAACAATGTGTTGCATGCACACAATTATACCGTCTCTCAACAGCTGCCCTCTAGCTCAGTCCAGCGGCCTTGCTAGTCCTCATCATGCCTCTAACCCATACTTTCTCGTGTCCTTGTTGTCTGCAACCGCCCCCCTTCTTCCGCTCCTTCCCCTCCCAATAGAGAGGAAGGTCTTTCATCCCATTTACCCTAGCCATCTTCTTACTACCCTTCCCTAAAGTTGTCCACAATGCCTGCACAAGTATCCCAAGGTCACCAACCACCGCCTGTATACAATAATTACACCCACTTACTGCATCCTCCAAAAACGAAGCCCTACGCCTCAAAACATCCTATGCCTCTGCGGTAGCCCAGAGGTTGCTACCAAATACACCTCTCTCCACTGGCCATCACTTTAAAACATAACCATCCAGGAATTTGCCAAAGGTTGGCACCTTACTCTACACACCCCATCCAACCCCCTAAAGTCACTTTCTTCGGCCACCAACCACCGCCTTGGCTAAGTAAGAATGCTGAACTTGAAGAATGTCTTCTATCCCTCGACACCTCAGTTTTCGCGTCTTTCACTCCCCAAATAAATGACGTCGAGGGAATCCAAAATGGCTTGAAGCCTACTTCAAAGTTTCTCCTACTAAGATTTAAATGCTCTGCCTACTAAAATTTTTCTGTATGTCAAGACCTTAGCTAGCAAAGACATCCACAGAACGAATATGCCATGCTCGCAAGGATATTACAAGATCTATGAATGTTTTTTTGTGCGTTGCCAGGAAATATTTCTAATTTAATGTAAAAGCTAAAATCATCTGATAATATCCATGATAAATTCTTTGACCAGTATTCCAAAACCAGGATCCATTCAGGGACTGAGGGAGTGCCAAGAGCAAGTCCACTTGGCATGTCTCAAGTGGACTCAACAAGTCCTACCCAAGTTCTACAGGACTAAAAAATCCCAAAAATTGGGAGATTTAAGGAAAAGTATATTAAAAAAAAAGGAAATAAAAAATTAGGAAAATGATAAAAATAAGAAAAGCCATATACAAGATGAAAATCAAAACCCCTAGATTTAGGATTTGAGTTTGGATCTACTTGATCCAAGCTCTTGAAGATTTCAGCCAAACACCATTTCAATATCCAAAATCTCACAAATCTGAGGTTTTGAGCGTTTCTTTCATCAGCATCAGCATTCGAGCCTTATCCCAACTACTTGGGGTTGGCTATTTTGAAAGTAGGCTTAGGGACAAACTTTCAGGAAGGATCGAGCTAGGGTTGCAAAAACCGAGCAAGAAAACAACTTCATCAAGCCCCATTTTAGAAAAAAAAAAGGGCAAATCCAAGGTTTTTGATATTTTTGTTCAATTTAATGCTTGGATGGAAAACACACCTAGGAGTGAGTTTTGAGTGAGAGATCCGAGATCGAATAATGAAGCAAATAGAAGAAACACCCCACCCCCCCACCCAAAAAAAAAATTATCTTTTTTCTTCTATTACATCAAAAAAGGATCAGACTTTTGCAAAGTTTTTCAGACTGGCCCCAGTTAATGGAATGACTCTAGCGAGTACTGCTAAAGTATTGGCACCAACGAGTTGGGGGCCTTCCATAATCAACAGGATGCCAAGTCCAAGTCGGAATAGGCAAGTTTTTAAAACACTTCTTCAGGGATAGTCACTGTTTGATAAAATTCCATTTCAAGACATTTTATCTTGCTAAAGGCATTAATATCAGAATTACACAATTACCATTAGAAAGCTATAAAATATATGTTTTGGAAACAAAGTTTCACAACCAAATTAAAGACATAATTAGCAAACACTGCATATCTGTGAAAAAGTGTTCCATGCCATAACATCATTGATATATGTCCATCCAAATTCCATAGGTTCGATAATTCACCAAAGCTAAACATGAAGGATGTTCACATATTAGCTTGAAGGGCCTGTGAGGCATTGAATATGTATATCCCAGCACATTCTTCTATTTGAAGGATGGTTATTTCTTTTTCCTCTTTTCATGGTACTTTTTCTCGAATAATTGTAAACCTACCCATGGAGGGTGTTTTTGCACTGGTATACAACTTTATACATTGAATTCAACTTCAGTCAACCTTTCATCCCAATATCAATCTCCACTTATTTTAATCAGGAGATGCCAATAGTGCAGTATATTGATTAGCTGATCTCAAGGTCCAAAAGTCTGATACTTGTTTTAGAAGCACACACCTGACCAAACCAAGCCGATTGAAAATCATATTTCATTATATACCGCTATTACTTGTTATTTGATCTGTTACACTAAACAATTTTGCGATAAAACGTTAGAATGACAATATGAAACAGATGCAAATGAACATTAGCACTGCTCAAGCATGATAGGATGTGAATCTGTTTTGTTTCAACTACAACGCAGCATTTGTGACAAGAAACAACAAAAGAAATGAAATCACTAGTTAAAAATACAAAAATACAAAATATTGTGCATTTTGGTCAAAATTCTTTAAATAGAATTGCATCCTACATGACAGCAGATTCCCTATCCAATTAGTTGTAACTCAAATTTTACATGAAAAGAAACAAGACTCAAAATTTTAATTATTCTGCCCATCATATAAACTTTCACAGACCTTGTTAAGGTAATTCATTTGCATAACAACGCAGGTGAGCACCACCATCATAAAAAACCATGTCTGTGGATATGTCAACTGATTGTTACCCTCAAAAGTAAGCTTCAAGGAGGTGCCTAAAGCTTTCACACTCATAACCTGCATCATTCATGTAATACTTATCAAAGAATAGTGGCGACTTAATCGTTCCAATGCTTGAAATTCGATATCAGAAATGAATAATGACCATACAGATTTGTCAATTCAAGTGCAAAGCAGTACCGAGAGGGAGCCCATTAAAGAGCAGATGCCTGTGAAAATCAATACATTTGTGTGTCCACAGCGCGGTGCAAAATGAAATATTAACACCAAAGCCAATACTATGACAGATGCCACATAGAGCAAAAAAGCTGAAAAGGGAAAGAAGGCAAACAGTTACAATTTGAGGAAATTGTCTTTCCAAATTTACAAAAAGAGGAAAGATGCAGACCTGTTTGAGTTGCCATCATCCATATTTCTTGGACAGAAGTAATAGTACTCTCTTGAGGTGCATGAATGACAATTATGACTGAACCAGTAATACACATTACACAGCCCAAAATCCCTAAATTATGCAACTTTTCATTCAGCATAAAGTGTGCCAAAACAGCACTGCATGAGAAAATTCGAGTTGTCAAAGTCAATCCAATGTCATTATAACAAGCACAAATGAGAGAGTGAGAGAGAGAGAGAGGGTCACCTTACAATTATACTCAAGGCACCAAGTGGTGTAACTAGGACTGCAGGAGCAAAGGCATAGGCAACAAAATTTGATACTTCACCAACGATCACTACATTGGGTACAGAAAAAATCAAAGAAAAGTATATGTCATTACCAATCAGTATATATCCTTGTCTTTAAAACAGGAATATTCTTAGAAGAAAAAAAAAACAAACTGCCAAACCATTAATAATCCTAAAACTCATCCAGCTCCTAAAATGCATATAAAAATTATTCAAAAGGACACTGTCCAAGGAAACACTACAGGTACTACTCTGATCTCCAAATGGTGAAAAGTAATCAGCGTAGGAGCTCAAATTGTTCAAAACAGTTTGAATTGGAGTTCAACACCCATCTTCCAAATCATACAGAACAAAAAAAAAAAGAAAAAATGCCGTAATGTCCAATTGATTGGGACGGAATTTATGTGCGAAAATATCAAAGTCCGCATAGAATATGAGAAATAGATTGATAACAGTGGAAAAAAAAAAGGAATGACAATAAAACATGAAAAAAAATATGTGACATGTTATCAGAAATTGGTATCATTGGGGCATAACAGAATATCAATTTTAGAAATTTGAACACAAAAAAGAAGAGAAAATGAAGAGAAGGCCATGATTGCAGATACCGAAATACATTCAATGAGAAATCTCACGTAACTAAACACTTTTCCTTTATAAGTACATAAATTATACAACCTCATGAATCAGATAAACTTACTTGTGATCATGCCAGTCCACCATAGAGGCTCCAGCAAATAAGAATACCCACCAACACCTGACAAATAACAGGAACATTAGAATAAAAAACAAGAAAACCCGTGATTTTGGGTTTTTACACATCAAATCGAGAACCCGTTGCCAACCCACCGGCTCGAACGCCGGAGGCTGCTGCTTTCTTCAAACCCTTCTTCTTGATTATGAAACTCGCTCCAATGAAGGCACTGGAGAGAAGAGCTAAGATAAAGCCTTTAAGATTATCAGTGGAGACTACCATGGTGAATATGTTTTTTTCTCTCTTCGTGACAGGAAGAGAGATGCAAAACCCAACAAGGAATCATCAAACCATGCCCAATTGGGGCCTCTTTCACGTTGGTGAATCCATGGAAGGAGATAGAGAGAGAGAATTGGGGTTCAGGGAAGAGAGAGAAAATGAACAAGTAATGATTTTTAGTTTTATTGAGGGGAGGAACAGGCCTAGAAATGGGCCACCGTTGAGAGGAAAGAGAGAGGAAATGACAAAACAATAATGCGGTATGGACAATAAAGAAATCCACTTGGATAAAAAAAAAAAAGCATAAATTGAGTTTTGTTTTAGGAGAGAGAATAGACAGGAAAGGTCAAAAAGACCTTTTTTTTAGAGAAACTTAATCTAGATGAAATTTGTATATTACTGGCAAACTTACAAAAACAAAAACAAAAAAAAACCTCCCAATAAAAGTCTTCTTGTACAATTTACAACTTTTTTCTCATTTTTTATCCCAAATGTAATTTTTTTAGCAAATAACTCGGTCATAAATAAAAAAAAGTAAGATGAATACCAGAATGCTTTCTAAAAAAAATACAGTCCAGCATCAAATAGAGACGGTCAGACACTTTGTTTCTAATAAATATGCGGTTCGACATAAAATAAGGGCGATTCAGTACTTTGAACATATGATTTGGCATTTTACTTCTGAAAAGCATATAGTCCAACACAAAATAAGGCGATCTGACACTTTGAACATGCAATCCACCACAACATAGGGTGAAATGACGCTATAGATATTTTTCGTTAAAAAAATAAAATAATATATAACTTTTTTAACTTAAGGGTATTTGCTAGAAAGTTCAAGTTTGGATAAAAATTGGTAAAAATCTCCTCGATTGGAAGTAAATCGCCTATTTTAAGGGTTTTTGTAAAATTACAGCAGGTCTTGGTCCAATGGGATAGGTTGGTGACGGCGTTGAAACATCAGTCTCCTTATTTTCTGGTTTGTAAAAGCTAAAATTGGGCACCTGGCTTTTTAGAAGGCTTAAAGAGTGCATGTGGATTAGTAGAAACTCGTTGGCAGATGCAAATCCGGCGTGACACAGGGACTTGGGTTTATAGGAAATGTATTCATAGGAAGGAAAAAGCTTATACAAGGCCGAAGCTCTAAACAATTAATTTACGGTGCACCTCAAAAGTTCCATTAAAATAGGTTGTTTTGAGGTTTAAAAATCCTCAAATTGATCATCTCTACCACAATATGTATGAATATGAGATAAAATGGATTTCAAGTCCTAGAAATAATGCATCTTATAACGCATTTTTAGACCGTCCATTTTCAAGATTTTCAATTGTTCATAGATCTGCTCTATCTATATTGCATTTGAAGTTTTGAATTTTATAATGAGATATGAAAATAAGATTTCCAGTATTTAAACAACATCTTTTGACACTATTTGAAGGTGCGTCGTAATTTGATTGTTTAGAACCTCGGCCTTATACAAATCACACCATTATAGGAAATGTATACAATGAGCTCTTTAGTTTTGATTTGAAGATGTCATAATCATAGTTGATGGTTAGATATGAAATCGAGTGGCTGAGGATATGCCATTATTTTGGGGCAAAACCCAAAATATAATCTCTTAAAAATAAATTTGTTTTTTAAAGAAGTAACTCTAATTTAATCTTTTAAATATTAGGGTTTGGTTTTTATAAGGTTGCAGCCTTAAACAATCCAATTAAGGCGCACCTCCAAATTTTATCATAACATGTAACTTTGGTGGACAAGATTCTTAGGATTATCTCAAAATCTATTTTTATATCTAATTATAAAATTTTAAACACCAAAAATGGTTAAAATCAAGGATATTTGTAAACATATGAAATGGACGGTCTAGATAATATATTGCAAGATACACTGTTTATGGGACTCAAATTTTTTTTTTTTTTTCATATTTATACATCTCGATGTCAAGATGATCAATTAGAAGGTTTTTCAACATTAAAACAACCTTTTTATTATGGAATTTTGAAGTATATTTGTAATTCTACATTTTAATGTTGCAACCTTATTTAAATTTTTTCCTAAATGTTATGACACACTTTCATTTGTTATCTCATAGTTAAAAGTGATTGTGGCAGCCTCATACCAAAAATAAATAGTATCATTAGTATACAATCCTTAGATTATAACGAAGCATGGTTGCGATGTTTTTGTACAAGTACATTTTTTATGTAGAATGTATGTTATACCCATCTTTTGAATGGGGTGGTGTTCTGTACATGTGTTGCAGCTTTATACTTAGTATAGAAGTATGATATACCACAAAAATCTATTAGAAAAGTGTGTTTGAAGGTTGGAAAACCTTCTAATTGAACATCTGGACATCAAGATGTATAGTAGAATAAACAAAAAAATAGAATTTTGGAGATTTTGAAGCATTTATATATCTGTTAAATAATTCTGCAATGGCTGGTCATATGCCAATCCCAAGATTAGATAAAGGATGAGGGTTATGCTAGGTAGGGCAGCTATATTGAATTTTTGCCACATATTTTCATGAATCTTTAAGTTATTAGCCAGTGCATGAATTTACGCTCTTCCCTTGGAGGAATAGTTCAAAGACCTATTGAATGACCCATAAGAACTAAGGAAGGAACCTTCCAAAAAAACAGGATTCATGTAGCCAATTCCGATTAGGTAGTGATATAGATTTGCTAAATTTGAAGTATTTTTTAAATTATAAATTTTGTAATTAGGGTTAAACATGGATTTCTAAGCTATCATAATTTTTCCGGCATTGAAACTACATCTTCCAAAAAATTTAGAGATGTGTCTTACTTGTATGGAGTAAGGGCTGCCCCTTATACAAACCTCACCTATTTACAGTGTAAATTTGATACATCTTTTGAAATAATACCAAAAGTGTTGTAGTATTGTCCAAATAAAATGGACCATAAAGATTACTGCAACCTTACTTCCATCCAATTTGATATCTAATGGGTGGTTGTAATTATGATGTCATTGTAAGAGAGATAAATGGTCTCATAGTGTACAAACCTTAAACAAAATATTGCAATCTAGAAAAATAAAAGATAAAAGTAAATAGATAAAGAATATACCCTTTTTTACAGCATGCAAAGAGCCCACCCCAAAAAAAAATATTTTTATAATAATAGTTAAAAAATAAAAAACCTAAAACCTAATTTGCTCTCTAAAAAATCCTAATTTTTAAAATAAATATTTTTATTTTCCCTTGTCGATCCTAATTTTGGAGCCAAGACTTGTCACCCACCGAGGATTTTGATGAGGCAGTAATCCGATAGCATGATAAAAAAAGGGCGGCAATTATGATTAGGAACTCACTCTCCTGAGAATTACAATAAACCTAGATAAACTTCTAGTTCTAACTTCTAACCCTCAATTCCCTGCAACAACAAAACACGATACAAACACTTTAAAAGAAAACTAGAAACCAAATAACTCCAAATTTAAATTTTAATCTTTAAAAAATAATAAATTTTAAAAAAATTGATTGCATCATTCTCTATGGGTTGGAAGAAGCTCAAACTTGAGCTTGTTATATTCGTTGTATCTTATACAAGTCATTCAAATAGTTGGTAATAAAGTCACACCATTTTCCTATATATGTTATCTTCTTTAATGAACTAATTAATCAAATATGAAACTTGTAGTAGAACTCTGGGACGTCGAGTGCTATCTTGATTTCTTCAAGCTCAAATGGTTGCATTTCGCATGCTATATAACTAGTTCATCTTTTATAATCGATTATCAAGTTTTGTACTACTTTTGGGTTCTTACACTGATATTTACTATTGATAGTATCTAATATATCAAGTTTTTTCTTTATATGATCTCAAAAATTAAGATTTTGTACCAAATCTACTCGATTATAAGTACCTTTTATTGATGCTCGGTATTTTCTAATCATTACAACCGTTTATTTAGTTCACCAATCTCTATTCAAAATTCATGGATCTCAACTCGAATCCTTATACTATAATATGTGCTCTCTTTTATTTGTTAATTCACAACTGTTATGACTTGTAGCGATATATCTTCCATCACAAGCACGTTTTTAGAGGCATCATGATGGATGTATCTTTTGAAGTTTTGATGCCAACTGATGCAGGAAAAATGGGTAAAGAAAATAAAATTAATCTTAAAAAATAAAATAAATAGATGAGAGAATGTACCCTCTTTCATGGGAGTCACCTCAAAAGATTTTTTCATGAAATCAAAACTAGATTTTCATTCCCTTTTCTATTTTTCTGGTCCAATAATTACATATTTATAAAAAAAAAAAAATCTTAAAACCCAACTTACTCTATAGGAAATTCTAATCAACATTAAATCTCAACCTTTCATCTTGTAAAAAATAAACTTTAAGTCCCACCCTTCAATTGTTTGTAATTGAAAAAAAGACATAAATATCTTTGAAAAAAACTACAAATCTAAATAACTCCAAACCTGAATTTTAATATTTAAAAAATAAATAAAATTAGAAATTGGAAAAACTCTAATAGTAGTAGAAATCAAAGCTTGCTATCTTTAGATTTTTATTAGAGGTTCACACTGAAAATATCCTTTTAGAGGACAGAGAGGGAGGGGGGTTTTCAATCTATCAGAAATCCCTGGATCTGTAAATTCCTAGAGAGCGAGAGAGAGAGGGCCTTTTAGAGTGAGAATTGTTTTTCCCTCCGAGAAATTCCCAAATCTGCAATATTCTCTCAGATGAGCAGCAATGAAAAAGGTTTTCTCATTTTCTCTCCTTAAAATAGTAGGGTTTAGCACTCAAATGAGTTTCCAAATTTTCTCTCTCTAAAATAGCAGGACCTCATTATAGGAAAAACAGATTGGCAGTATCTCAGAAGACGTCCTAGAATTTGACATTTTCTTGAAAGACCTATCAAATATGTACTGTAAAACTAAAATGGAAAATAAGGAATACATTTATTGTGCAATGGTGGGATTTCGACAAAAGAAAGAAAACAATTCAGGTCTATATCTATGAACTATGAAGGGGATTGTACAGAGAGTCTCGATGGGCCTCATAATTGTCGTGCTTGACAAACCATTCAAACGTAACAGGGCTCAGGAAAATTGCTTTTCCATTTAGAATTTGTTGTGATTGAAGAACCATTCAAACATAACAGGGCCTTGGAAAAATTGATGTGCTTGTGTAGAAATTTCTAACCATTACCGAGTGTTGATGGGCCAAAAAAAGTCCGAAGCTTTAAAAGGTGTCTTTCCTCGATTTTAGAATCGATTTAAATTTGGGTTGTGTTAGGGTGCTCACGATATGAAGTAATTTAGCATGGTGTTCAACAAAATTTGGAAACTTATATACATTTGTTTTATACATGAAACATAATTTAGGGTGTTCACACTGTAGAGTAATTTATTATGGTATTTAACAAATTTTAACCACTTATATACTATTGTTTTATATATGAAACATTGTTTAAAAGAAAAAATAAAATCAACTGTTCAAATATCTTTTCCAAAAATATCATTTTTTTTAATACAGATTAATAATCTACATGCTAAAGATTATATATTTCCAAAAAATTATGATTAAATTTTATTTTAAAAATAAATTATTAAGAGGCTTGCATTTCGGCATATGAGTTATTGGACTCGTAGAAACTATATTTTTTTTTAATGAGGAAAATTATTTCACGTGGGCTGGAATGCATATCTACAATATGCGATTCAACGTATAAAGCATCCATCTTAAAGATAGACGTAAACAGGTAGTCCATCTAAAAACAATTGTAACTAACTTTCCAAATGTTTTATTGATATAAATTCTATTTTTAGTTTTAAAAATTTATTTATTTTTTCATATTCATGATCACCATATTAAAGATTATATATTCTTTAAAAACTAAGATCAAATTATATTTAAAAAATATATTTAACTCCGAACCCATATTTCTATAATATACTGATTGGCCGGATAGAAACCAAGTACTTTAATAAAAGTATTTTTAGTCATAAAAAGGGTCCGACGTGATTCACATCAAATGTGACCTCATCTAGATAAAGCACACTAGCGATATTTATTTATTGAACAAATTGTTACATTTAATACTCTTTTAATAATAAAAAATATCTTTACGAATAAAAACTCAATGTACAAGAGTATATAAGTGTCTAAAATTTGTTGAGTATAATGCTACATTATTTCGTGTAATTTGACCTATCAATCAACCTGCAGGGTCCGCATAATTTGACCTATCAATCAACCATTAGGGCCTGTCTTCCTATTATTGAAAAAAAAAAAAAAAAAAAAAAAAAAAAAAAAAAACAACTCAATGAACAGTAAATCCATTTTCTAATGAGCGTCGTAAAGAGAGAACTTACCAAGTGACTGAAAAGAGAGAGATGAGCATCTTAGAGAGGGAGAGTGCCGTCCCCTCGATCGAGAGAGTGTCGTTCTTCTCTTCGATCGAGAGAGAGAGAGATCAGCATTTTATAGAGGGAGAGTGTCGTTCTTCTCCTCGCTCAGCATCTGAGTGAGAGAGATAAAGGGCCATGTTTCGAATTCTCAGAATTCGCAGAGCTGCAGCATCAGCCATCATTTCACACTCAAAGCTCTCAAACCCTACTCCAAATACCCTAATTCCCCAACCTCCATTACAGGCTCTCCGCCCCTTCTCTTCTTCCTCCTCTGGAACCACGGATTCAGAGCTCCGAAAGTACATTGGCTATGGCGCCCTTTTTCTAGGCTGTGGTATAGCCACCTATTACTCATTTCCATTCCCCGAGAATGCAAAGCACAAGAAAGCTTACCCCTTTCGCTATGCTCCATTACCTCAAGATCTCCACACTGTAACGAACTGGAGTGGGACTCATGAGGTGCACACTAGGGTGTTTTTACAACCAGAGAGCCTGGAAGAGCTCGAGAGAATGGTGAAGGAGGCCAACGAGAAAGGCCAGAAGATCAGGCCTGTGGGTTCGGGCCTTTCGCCTAATGGAATAGGGTTACATAGAAGAGGCATGGTGAATTTGGCCCTAATGGACAAGGTTTTGGAGGTGGATAGAGAGAGAAAGCTGGTTAGGGTTGAGGCTGGTGCTCGTGTTTCTCAGTTGATTGACAAACTCAAAGAGTATGGGCTCACATTGCAGAATTTTGCGTCCATTAGAGAGCAGCAAATCGGGGGCATAATCCAGGTTCTTCTCCTTCATTCTCACCTGAATTCCACATTTTCTTTATGTTTTGACGAGGTCAAAGATAAAACATTTACTTAATTTATCGCAGAGTATAATGGAAAGGAATGCTATAATCTAAGCATCTTCATTGCAAAAAGATGTTACATTTCTGGATTTTTTATTATTGGACCTTCAAAAAATAATGTGGAACCCTTTTATTTTTGAATTGTTTTCTTTATGCACAGTAAAGTTGGAGATTGCTTTTTATTCTGATTTGCATTCTAAAGTTCAATGGATATGAGTGTGATACCAAAGCATATTAATTCACTTCTACATGGATATGATGCGTTGCAAACTTTATTTTACTTTTCTATTGATATTATGCGAGTTGCCTTCAAGGACCAAAGGGCAGTTGAAAAGAAGTGGAAGTAGACGTCAAGGCTTGTTAGCTTGGCTCTCACTTATGTTTCAATAGAATCACATTGAGAGGTCTTGAGTGTCCTTCCAGTTTTGCCCCAGTTGAAGTCAAGATTTGTGCTACCATTTGGTGGCCTGCACTAAATGGCCTCCGGTCCATCTCTAAAAGAGAAAGTGTGAAACCGTTGTTGATTCTATTATATATAGATCCTTAACTCTAAGCAAAGCAATTATTTAAGAGACTAAGGACCCTGATGGTTGCTGTGGGCCTGGTTTGTTCCCTAAGGCTTAGTTCATATGTCTAGATATTTGTAAAGATGCAGTTTCTTATTTTCTTTAGCAGTCCATTGTTTCTTTTATTGAATGTAATGGAGTATAATTAGGGGACCATCTTCCAAAGAAGGTAGCTTTCCTCATGCGGCATCATAGTTCGTAAAACACATTTACCTATGAGGCCATCTAATTAGTACAGGCATGACCCAAGCAACCTGAAAGGGCTCAAACAAATTGAGGAAGTCATTTTAAATATTGCATGTGAATAGACAAACACAAAAGAGGCTGTTTTCAAAACGTCTTCAAACTTTCAAGATTGGATACATCTTCTCTAGGGGTAATACATAGTATCTTATGTATAGGGTGGCCAACCAACCTAAGTAGAGGATTCAGGCTGGTGCTTGGATACCATGGACAATGCTTCAAAGAGTGTTCAACCCCCACCAGTGTTGAACTCTTTTGGACATGGGGCCAAAAAGCAACCCCAGTGTCCCATTTCTACTACCTCTTATTAGGAGATATTATTGGGATACTTGTTCACTGGACCCCAGATAGATGTCTTAACTCCTGTGTTCTTATACCCCTTGGACTTCTTCTGAATCTGCACAACAAACTCCAAACTATGTGGACCCTTCTCATCTCCCGTTCAAATACTAATTAACATAATACAGTCTGGGTAGTTGTAGGATCCTACATCTAATCCTGTATTGGGAGCTCTTATAGAGCATATAACTCTCTACTTTCAAACTCTATTCCTTGTTCTCATACTTTTTTATCTTGCATTGTCATTCAACTGGATGTTCCTTTTTTCTGTTATTGGGCTTTATAGACCAGTGGACTTAAGTAAGGCATTTTTACTTCGTCTCTTCTCTTTGATTGATGAAAAAATCTTATAAAATTTGGACTTACCTGTATACATGAATAGTTCGAATTCATTGCAACCTAATATTCTCTTTCAATTTTTCTTTTCAACCCAGTTTTCTGTGCTCTATTTTTCATTTTCATTCCGTGGAGGCTGACTTATATAATCCTGAATGTTTCACAACTTGTGTGAAAGCAGCTCTTGCAATCTTGGTATTTTGCAGAGGCTTCCGATTCTCAGTTGTTTATGAGTTTACAGTTCTAGTGTGAAAAAGAAGTTCTCGAAATGCGTCTGTTTTCATTTACAAAAAGGAAAAAAAAACTCCCATACTGCTTTTAAAAAAGTCTACCAGAGTGCTTCCATTTATGTGTGCAAAATGAAGCAAATGTTCCTTCTACTTTTTCCAAATCACCAATCACTATAGTTTAACATATTTCTCAACTGAGGATAATTTTTTACTTATTATACTTGTTTGTCGATTCTAGGCCTATTATTGTTATACTGAAATTGCACCTATGATGTTAAATTATGGTGTTAGTCTCACTCTTGTCCCCACAGTATTACACCTGGATGAATATGCACTGTTTGACATATGATTATTGCTTCAATGAGTCATTCTCTCAAAAAATTATTGCTTCAATGAGCCATTCTTGGTAATAAATTTTCCTATAATAAGCTGTGACAGTCACTATGCAAAACAAAGGAATAACATTTGTGGTCCTAACATGTTTATGAATGTCCGAAAAAAGCTCTGCTTCCCTCTTGAGATATATTTTCATTCATATATGTGTTGTCATAGTTTACTTCAGAATATGGTAATTGCATTTGCTTTTTTCACAATCCTTGATTTTCAGGTTGGAGCTCATGGTACTGGAGCAAGCCTGCCTCCCATTGATGAACAGGTTGTCAGCATGAAACTGGTTACCCCTGCTAAGGGGACAATAGAGGTCTCTAGGGAGAAGGATCCAGAACTCTTTTATCTAGCTCGCTGTGGTCTCGGTGGTCTTGGTGTTGTGGCAGAAGTTACCATCCGATGTGTTGAGAGGCATGAGCTTGTGGAACATACATTTGTTTCAAACATCAAAGAGATAAAGAAAAATCACAAGTAATAATCTCAATCTTACAAAATGGCTATATGGGATTATTTTTATTTTTATTTTTTTGGGAATAGCAATATTAGAACATCTATCTCAAGTTCTAATCAAGTATAAATTATGCCTTTGTTGATCTATTTTGTGATGTACTTTATTGGTCTGGTTGTGCTTTGGATTTGTAAAATTCTTTCTCTATTGTTACACAGGAAATGGCTTGCAGAAAATAAGCACCTTAAATATCTGTGGATTCCATACACTGAAGCTGTAGTAGTTGTTCAATGCAACCCTCTCACAAAGAGAAAAGGTCCTTCGCAGTTTAAGCCAAAATATAGTAAGGATGAAGCTTTGCAGCATGTTCGTGATCTATACCTGGAAATGTGCAGAAAATATGGGTGAGTGGAATCACACTACATATAGTTGTTCTTGATTGATCATTGGGTTATGTTGTTGGGAACTTCTCAAACTAGCTGGCCTAGACCTAGCTAAATTGGACAAGGTTGCAATTTGATAGAAAGTGTCGTGATGACTTAATTCAGCTGAAGAATGGAACTTCTCTTCAATTTTCTGAAGTTCTTCCTTTCTTTTTTCTATATTCCTCCATTATTTTGAACTTTACTTGTATTTGGCAATATTGCCCTAGTTGGTGACTGTTACCAGAAAACTTGGCCTATAAAAAGTAGGAATTTCTAACCTGCTTTTTCCTCTTTAATTCCTACCAATACTTTATCTGTTTCTCTTCTGCTTTTTGGTACCCTAAGATTTATATTGTTTTTAAACATTCAGCTAATTAGTTGCAAATATAGCTGTTTACAGAACCAAAGAAATTACTTTGAAAACCTCAGGAACGGAGCAACCTGAAGAGGAAAAAGATGTCAGTGAGCTTTCCTTTACAGAATTGAGAGATGAGCTCCTCGCGCTTGATCCCCTCAACAAAGATCATGTAGCTCAGGTCAACCAAGCTGAAGCAGAATACTGGAGGAAGTCTGAAGGATTCAGGGTTGGTTGGAGTGATGAGATTTTGAGTTTTGATTGTGGTGGACAGCAGTGGGTGTCGGAAATTTGTTTTCCTGTTGGTACACTTGCAAAGCCCACCATGAAGGACATCAGCTATATGGAAGAGTTGAACAAGCTTATAAAAAATGAAGGTATCCCTGCTCCTGCTCCCATTGAGCAGCGATGGACTGCTCGTAGTACAAGCCTCATGAGTCCTGCTTCAAGTTCATCTGAAAGTGATGTATTCTCCTGGGTAATCTTTCAAAACCCATGCCAGATTCTTCAGTCATTTTCGACTTAAAAGTGTACAAGAATTGAAGAGATTTCGTTTTATGCATCCATTTTTTTTCCTAATGCAATTGGATGGTTCTATCTTCATGTGCATCTGTTTGCTTTGTTTGCTTGATGTTCAAATGTGTCTTGGCCTTCATTTTTCCCTGAAGGCAGGCATGCAAATTTGCAAAATAAGTCATTACCAAACTATTAAAGAACTGCTGTATGATTTAGTCTTAGTTGTTTGAGTGGTTATTTATTTTCTCTTTGCTAAGTAACAGTTAGAATGGTTATTCTCTCGCAATGATTATATAATTTTTTCATCTGACAACAATGGTTGCTGGTATTGTGATTTTTTTGAAGAATTCCAGTTAAAATGTGTGCCGTGTTCATGTGAGATACTTCAGAGACTGTAGTATCTCATATCGGATTTTGTGGCTACACGCACCGCCATATCTGTGCATTGTTGTTAGCAGTGACATATTGATTCTTACCTACACCTTTTTAGTGCTAGACTTAAGTAGTAAACGCCTTTTAGCTTTTCTGGTTCCCATTTTCCTCTAGATATGTCTAAACATCCAAATCATGTCCATTATTAGCAAAATGGAGATATACCCATCCATATATTTTTTTTTTTTTAAAAAATGCTTAGCAAAAAAATGATATTTTCTTAAGCTTTTTTTTGTTTGGCTTTCAGGGTTAGCCAATATGGTCATTCTTTTGAAAAAATCTCAATGTCAAATGGCCTCACGTTTATTTCAAATTCATGTCCCATTGAGGGTGTTCCCAATTACAGCTTGAAATTCTTTTTATGATGAGGCATGTGATTATCATTAGTTGTTTGGAGATAGCAGTTTTTCAAAAAACTCCCCGAGTCGAATTTGGATTCACTTGAGTCAACCTGAACTGGCAACTTTCTGGCTCTGGAGGTCCCCAACTTGTTCGGGGGACTCTGTTCAGACAAGGGTGGTTTTTCTGTCAGACTCGGACAGTCTCCAAGTTTTGGATGAAGTCCGACAAAAATACAGAAATATTAGGGGGTGGAAATCTAATCCCCCTTTCTTATTAGGGGGTGGAAATCTAATCCCCCTTTCTTATTAGGGGGTGGAAATCTAATCCCCCTTTCTTATTAGGGGGTGGAAATCTAATCCCCCTTTCTTATTAGGCTTTGAGAATTTGTAATTGGGCCTGCTTTTGTATCCTCTATGCGACCAAACCTTGAATTTAACAACAAAATTCTCAAAATCTTGCAAATCCAAGATTTACAATTTTGATTTATGATTTGGGACAAAAATGGGTTATTGGAATGGTTTGGGCGTTTCAGTTTGGGGCATTTGAGAATCTATATTGCAAAGATTGGAGGCATCTATCCAAACTAGACATATCTTTGGTAGAATTGGCTTCAAAACTTGGGGTAAGGGAAATTAGGTTTTATTTTTTCAATTTAAAGGCATATAAATGAATTTATTTTGGATAATAGATCTAGCTATATTTTCTTTAATATGTTTTTCCTTATTCTTTGGGGTTTTTCTTTAACCGGGCAAGACTTGGTGGCAACTTGGGGCTCTTCAAGTTGACCTGGCCTGGCCCCTGCCTAGTAGCATGGTCTGCAATTAACTCAACTGGTGTAAAATTGGCATTGCCTTTTGTTGGTCCAACCACAATGAAATTATGGGCGTATGCTTGTGTTGAAATGATACACAACCTCTGCCAATTCATCCATTTGAAACAAGCCAGTCTCTTGGGTCGAAGGTGCTACTAACATTACTTTTTGAGGTGCTAACCTACTTTTGTTCTTGTGTATCAGGTTGGTATAATCATGTACCTGCCCACTGCAGAAGCCCGACAGAGGAAAGATATCACAGATGCATTCTTCAAGTATCGATATTTAACCCAGCATGAACTGTGGGATGCATATTCTTCTTATGAGCACTGGGCAAAAATCGAGGTGGGTTAGAGAGAGAGAGAGAGAGAGAGAGAGAGAGAGAAGAGAGAGAG